CCAGTGTCTTAGTCAACTTCTTGTTGCCTGAAAGATGTAGACTTCCTGTTGCCCGAAAGATGTAGACTCCCAGCTCCAGCACCACATCTGCCTGAACACCACCATGCTCCCCACCATGACAATAATGGACCGAATCTGTGAAAATGTAAGCCAACCTCAAATGTTTTCCTTTATAAGAGTTGTCATGGTGTCTCTTCACAGCAATAAAAACCTTAACTAAGACAGAAATTGGTACCAGGTGTTAAGTTGGAACCTCCAGCCTGCCCATGCATGATGCAAAAAGCCTCATTCTTGTCTCTCTCTCCAAACCCTGCCCTCTCAGAGAATCTCCAAACAAAGGAAAGAGACCAAAAGCCCAGTACTGCACCCTTGTCGGCTACTATAGATCCCCCCACCTCCTGCCCTGCCTAAAGTGTTCAGCTTTTGACCATACTTGGACACAAACCCAGCTTGTGGTAGACACATCATCACCACTCACCTACAACCTATAAAATCTCCCTGCTTTAGTTTGTGGGCCTGACTTCTCTGGCCTAGATCTCTGGGGACTGGAGAACCTGCCCAGAAGTTGATTTGCTCAAATAAACCTGTTGTTAGACTTTTTCAATTCTGTTTGATCTGGCTTACTGCATTGGCCAAGAAACCTATTACTGGGAGACAGAAAACCTATTACCAGCGACTGGGGTATTGCTATGATAGGCCTAACCATGTTTTTGTTTGGAGTATGATTGACTTTGGTAATTTGGTTTGGGAAAGCAGTGGAATACTTTAAGTGCTGCCTAATGGGCCATACTAGTAGGAACATGGAAGACATTGGTGGTGAGTGTGATTTGATGTGGGGATAAAGAGGGAGAAGGGTGCTAGTATGTGGCCTAGAGACTGGTCTTGTGATATTTTGGTGAAGAAAGTGGCTGCTTTTTGCCCTTGTCTGAAGATTCTGCCTGAGGCTAAAATGAAGAGTTTTGTATTAATTCTGTTAGCAGAAGAAATCTTAAAACAGCCTAGCATAGACTCTGCTGTCTGGATATTAGTGGCAATTCTAATGAAGATTTATAATGAAAAGGGACAAGCGAAGCAGGATATATTACAGAAAGTAAATTTTCAGGAGAAACAGAGCACTGGGAAGTGGAATGGAGCTAAGTCCTGTATTCAAGGAGACAAACAGAATAAGAAATGGAATCTAGGGAGACGAAACCTCAAGGCAAGATCCGACCCAGTCACATTTCTGTCCTGTAAAAAGGAATTAACGAAAATCTTAGAGCTGTGTGTAGTGGAGAACACCTTTAATCCCAGCACTGGTGAATCTGAGTTTGAGGTCAGCCTGGTCTACAGAGCAAGTTTCAGGGCATCCAAGCTTAGACAGTGAAGGACAGAAAGTTGGTGAAGATGTAACTGAATGAGGGGACAGTTCCAGCCCCAGTAAGCAGCAGAATTTAGCAGCTTCAGCCACATAGTTCTGGCTTTAGAGTTAAGGCTAGAAGAAAGAGGCTATAGAATTTGTCTCTGCACCTAAAGAAAGCTGCTGAGGTCAGGCATGTGTCAGAGTTGTCCCTGGATGGAGGCCTAGTAGACAGCCTATTTCATGAAGCTGTGAAGTTGAAGCTTGAATTGCCTTGGAGAACCAAAGATGTTAGAAATGCCAGAATTGTGGGTTACCTGCTGAAGAGAGCTGCTAACAAGGATTGGAACCAGCACAAGGGAAAGAAGTATGTGGCAGTCAACAAAGCTGAATGGAGTTGGAATTCTGAAGTGTTTTGACATCACACATGGAGATAAGCAGCAGAGTCTGGAGTTTTCCCAGCTCGTTTTTAGTCTTGCTTTGATCCAGTATTTCTTCACTATGCTCCCTTCCCTATATTTTGGAACAGTAATGTATATCCTATGCTATTATATGTTGGAAATATGTGATCTGCTTTTTTATTTTTATTTATTTATTTATTTATTTATTTATTTTTTATTTTTCGAGACAGGGTTTCTCTGTGGCTTTGGAGGCTGTCCTGCTACTAGCTCTTGGTAGATCAGGCTGGTCTCGAACTCACAGAGATCCACCTGCCTCTGCCTCCTGAGTGCTGGGATTAAAGGCGTGTGCCACCAATGCCCAGCTTGATTTTGATTTTTACATGTGATTATAGTCAGGAGATTTATGAATCTCAGAAAAGATTTGAACTGAAAAACTGTTGAGACTGTGGGGACTTTTGAAGTTGATCTAAATGCATTTTGCATTATGATATTGTTATTGTTGAGCTTTTGGGGGCAGGGAGTAGAATGTGGTCGTTTGAATGTAATTGGCCCCCATAATCTCATAAGGAGTGGCAATATTGGGAGGTGTGGCTTCGTTGGACTGGGTATGCCCTTTCTGAAGGAAATGTGTCACTGTGGGGGTGAGCTTTGAGCTCAGGACACTGCCCAGTGTCTGGGATGACTTCGTATTGCCGACAAAGATGTAGGACCCTCAGTTTCAGCACCCTGTCTGCCTGCACGCTGCCATACTTCCCACCATGGTAATAATGGACTGAACCTCTAAAACGATGAACAAGCCATCCTCAGTCAAATATTTTCCTTTATAAGAGTTGCTGTGGTCATGGTGTCTCTTCACAGCAATAAAAACCTTAACTAGGACAGGAATGAGTGCTGCCTATGTTATCAATGCAAGAATAACAACATGAAAGGAGTAGCTGTTGGAAACCATAGAAACCCATGACATTTTAAAGGAAATAAGCCCTAGGAAGAGAAATGGCTAAAAACAAACCCTCTTTTATAATATGGTAAGCATGTTAAGTCAGATACCATTTCTACTGCTAAAACACACTTTAAAATATACATGTGAATAAGTATATTCATTCCCTAGAAGTAAGTTCTCCTACTGAAATGCTTATTGTCAACAAGAGATTTCAATTCCAAAAGTAGATGAAGGATCATATTATACATTATAAAATTACATTAAATATTCTTTCACATCTAAGACATTTCCTTTGCTGCTCCTACTCTACACTTTTAAAAATACTTCCCAGAATTTACATTAGGATTATGATTCTTACTTTAATAAGGCCAGCACCAGGGATGCAGAGGGACTTAGAGGAATTCAAGGCTAGATGTGTGGGACATTTTAAGACTTTATGGGTATTAAGTTCTTAGCTATTACCTTACATTTCTTCTGCTTCTATTAATTAATTAATTAATTAATTAATTAATTAAAAACAGGTCTCGTTTACTCCTGGCTGGCTTTGAACTTCTAATCCTCCTGCCTTCACTTCCAAAGTAATAAGCCTGAGCTACAACACCTGTCTTTTTAAATTTTTCTTTTTTTGTGTGATCTCCCCTTTATTAGTAGAAGACAGAATAACTTTCCAGTGGTAAAACTGTATACAAACAACAACAAGAAGTTTGACACTAAAATCTTAACCTTAAAGAATAAATAAAATCTTAACCTTAACTAATGATTATTTCATTAATCATAAAACCTTATGGCCAACAATGCTAGAGGATCAAAGTAACAGAAGACACTGAGAAGCAAAGTCGTTGGGACAAGAATGGAAAAAAACCCATGGTGACTGCTCTTATTTATTCAGCTTTAATAAGACAAAGGATGAAAAGGAAGGGGAAAGCCTTATGACTCAGAAAATCTGACTGTTTAACTGGCCCATCTTATTCATGCTTTCTAAGCAAGTGCAGTGCTAGCAGGGACTTCTTCCATTCGCAGAGGCCATGGCTAGCATAGTTCAATTGATTTAACTTGACAGGAAATTACTTTAGAATTAGTAGTCTGCTCAATATTTTAATAAAATGGGCTGGCAGTTAGAAAATTATAAATTACCTATCTGATACTCTCTTTTAAGTATAATTAGTGGTTTTGATAGAATCATAAATTTTTTAGTTGTGAAACTAATATATCCCTATTTGTAATATTAAATGACTTAGTCATATTTTTATTTCAGTGCTGGTGTTTTGATTCATTAATATGAATAACTCTTTGTACAAAGAGTTGTTTTTATAAAAACAGTTAAGGATTAATTTTCAGTCACGAAAAGAATCCCAAGATTAATAATTAATAGACTTTCAAAAGTTCTGCATATTACTTATTTAAGTTGTTGGAGAACATCTGGGAAATTCAATCTCTATATAAGATATCTCTCTATAAAAACGCTGCATTAGTTAGCTCCTTGGAAGAATTCAGTTTTGTCTTTCTGCTAAGGAGAAGATACTTCGTTTTATTGCTGACTGTGTATTTCTCTGGCGTGTCCTAAACACATTCATAATTTACAGTTAGGCCAAGTTCTGCTTTCAAATCAATATCTTTGTTGAGTATATTTTTCATTTAGAGAAAAATCATAGACTATATTCTCTACTGTTTAGGCAAACATTTTTTACCATCTTATTCAGCAAATGTCATACCAAGTTTAAATTAAGAAAAGGTATACCAATTCTTTTTGACCTGTTATTGAGAGACTAAAGTTAGTAATGACTAATTCAGCCTGGCTTCTTTAGAAGATAGCCTGTAACCACCAAAGCTGGGCTAGACCATGAGCATGTTTGCTGGACTATTCCACAATGGCTACATCTGCTGATGGTCTGCCCTAAAGGTTTTAATTGCTGAAATAGTAACAGGCCTCATGAGCCTTCTTCATAATAAAGCAGTTTTATAAAATGAAGGCTCTAAGAGCTTCCACAACAAAAAATTATGTTATCTTAGTCTTGGTATTTTGAAATAAAAACTTAAAAGTTACAGTTGACATTCAGTGTATACCACAATGTATTACATGTTTCTCTCAAAAACAACACTTTCATGTAAAGGTGTGCTAGACCTTAAGGAGTAATGGAAATACCAGAGTAGGATTGCCATCTAGGAATCCATGTTTCCCAGCAGGCAAGCTGCTTATGGCCTTATCGGCACAATTTAAATACTCAAAACCACTAAATGTAAGCACTGCAGCTGGAATGGAAAGGGATCCTGGCAGTCTGGAGCCAAGGAATACCACAAAGTCATCAGAAGCAAAGCAGCTCACAGTTCTGGCTCCAGGGAATGGTTTCTCCAGTGGAACAACTCTAGTCCAGCAGGGAAGGGTTTCCCTAGTGCAAGTGTTAAAGTTCTGCTCTGCTCCACTCGATTCCTGCAGAAAAAAAGGTCACATCCAAACCTCATTCAAGAGATTTATTGGGCGGGAAGAATCCAGGAAGGTGGCTGCCTCTGCCAGGGTAGAAACAAGGCAGCTCCCAACTGAATAGGCACAGGACTTACATAGGGCTGCTTAGGGGCAGATATTTTTTTTTTTTTTTTCAGGGTGAGAATTGGTTAGATTTCAACCCCTGAGCTTGGACAAGCCCAGAGATTGGCTGGATTTCCTGCTCAGCGACTGGTTGGTTTTCATGCTGAGTTGGTCAGGGGCAGTGTGTGTTTCTTTGGCTCTGGCTTCAGGGTCAGGTTATGTTTTTTAGGCTCTGGAGTCAGGGACAGGGTGTGTTTCTTTCAATGTCTCTGGTTTCAGGGCCAGAGTGTGTTTCTTTGGTTGGCCCTTTTACCCTACACTAAGTGTAGAACAAGTTAGGTATAGCCCAGCAAATGAGACACCTGCTGGGCAAGTGTTTATGGCATTTTAAACAAATCCCCTTTCTTCAACTTAGACCCATTAGGATTTGGGCTGCTTTTACACAGATATAAATGGACAATTTTTTAAGGTGTTTCTAAATGGTTAAGAGTCTGTCATGTTCAGAACACTAAAAACATTTTTCTTCCAATGATTAATCTATTGACAACTATCATGTGTTTGCAGTGAAGTCCATTACCATAAATCCTATGTCTGTGACACATGATCTTCTAGAATTTTGGTGTCACAAATCCTATCCCCATGATAATATAACTGTATATCTGACTTAACAGAAAGACCCCTTGATGGCAGGTTCTACATTTGAACGGCAGCACTCCATTCACTTGCAACTGAGGATGCATGCGGTAACCTATGCACTTTGGAAATGGAGACAGAAAGATAAGACAGTTGAGGTGATCATAGGTAGGCTACACAGGGGTTTCCAGATCAGCCTGGGATAGATGAGACCCTGTCTAAAAATAAGAAAGACAACAAAAGCTGGAGAAGTTAATTAATGCAAGACAACATACACAACACTTAACAGAGTTCAGCCTCGCCATTTCTGTGGCTACCTTTCCTAAATTTTATAGCCAACACTACCAAATTGAATACCCAAAATGATGTGAATTTTATTTTTGAAGAATAGGTGTTTTAGCCAGCCTGCATGGCACATTCTGTAAATGACTCATATGACAATAAGCACTGAATTTTTGCCAGTTGTTAATCCGACTAGCAACCTTACTAAAAATGACACTTTAATGAATACCTTTAGTCATTCTGATTTTCAGGCAGTGACTCAACTGCCATGGTCTACAGGAATCAGCTCAGGAGCTTTCAAAACATGCTGTTTTTTTATGCAGAGATTCTAATGCAGTTTCTCTAGGGTAGCAGGGACATGTTTATTGCAAAGCCACAAGCCACTGTTCTAATAAAAACCAACTATGATCAATTAATTACGTGACTCTGTAAGTTAGCATAAGAAGAAAAACCTTTATAGATAACAGCAAAAAATAGTCTTCTTTTTGGAGAAATGCATTTTATTTTAGAAGCATTATTTTGTGATGAATAAAATTGTATCTTATAGGCAGTAAGCTGACTAAAAGAAGATTTTATAAAATGTAAATAAATTGTCCTGTATTGATCTTGCTCCTTCAGTGTAAGTTGGCTTTGCATATACTTGATACACAAAAGATCTTTGAGAAAAATCTTGTAAATTCTAGGGAGTCCTTCCTTAAGGCAAGTTGGAGCCTCGGGAACTGCTATCCTCTTCTACTATTAATCTACCTATGGCAGCTGAGCGTGTAGTGGGATATGGGAAGGGCATCACTTTCTTGTGTTAAAGCATACCCAACTGAGAGAGAACTATACTTTTTGGGCCAGATACTTAATTTAGATAAAACTGCCCCCAAAGACCTATGCCCTGAAGATGGGAATATGAAACAAAAAATCCAAGGACATAAAAACTTACCTGGATGGATGGACAGGTAACTCAGGTTTAACTGTCTACTTTTTATTAGGATTGATCTGTCACAAAGGTCTACTAATTCTTAGAGATCTGTCATGTATCCTATTTCCTTTATAAGTTCTATAATTTTAGTGTGTGATTTTTCAGAATGCAAAGTTTTTCAAGAATGCACATGCAGTATTAGTGCTTGAACACCTGGATCTAACAAAGTATTTTTAGGGTAGGACACACAGGGATGAACGAGGTATCTATTCTATTGGTGACTTCTGATAGCATGACTCAGCTTTTAGACTACAGAAAGTCTTTGATTCTGAGAGAGGGTGGGTTAGGACCTGGGGTCTCCCATATATTAGAATCCTGACTCTGAGGGGGAAGGGACAATCAAAACCCTACCTTAGGGATGAGAGGCTTTGCTCCTCCTTAGGGAAGTGTCAGGACAGTCCTTGCTGTATGAACCGATGTCCACTAGGCCAAAGGACTGGCCGACCTCACTGTTGTTGCACAAACAGTAGCCAACCCATCAAGGATGCTTCGTCCCTCCCCACGCAGTTATACCATGACAAAATGACAGGTGGATACCAAAACACACTTTATAACTAATTTCACTGCAATGATTTACCGCTCCCCAGTCCAGATACATAATTGCCATATAGTGAGAATAAAAATACCAACCGTATGAAGAGAATGCAACTTCACTCAAGATTTATCATGTGCAAGTCTTGGAGATGCCGACTCAGAAAAATACAGATACCAAAAGAGAACCAATCCTAAAAGTGAGAAAGTCCCCTGAAAATCTACCAGCTGGACCTCATGGTGGCTCATGGGAACTGCACTAAGGGCAGCAGTTCTGGGAAGGTGAACACGCCTTCCTCTTTCCTAGGGGTGGTCAGCTGGCCAGATCCCTGACCTGTCCCACTGGATTAACCTTTAGAGGACACAAGGGAAGAGCTCTACCCAGAGGTAGATTCTATTTTGTACAAAAATACCTGTGATTGATACTTGAACTTACTAAGTGAGTATCAGTGAAAGTCAGTCAAATACTTACATAAACAACACAAAACAAGATCGACTCTAAATATCTGTAAAAAACTGAGGTTGAATAAAAATAAGCAAGCAAAGGAAAGATTGTGTGCATTGGTTAAATACAGGGAACTATGGTTTTGGTATGTTTCACTGTAGAGACCTTTCTTAAGTATTTACCATGATTTTCCTTTAGTATAGACTTTCGTTTAGGATATGCAGAAGAAACTGAGGAAGATTAGTCTGAAAGCATGTTTCCTTCACTCCTTAGGTAATAAAAGAATGCCTAGACTGCAGTGTTTTCAAACCATCCCATGTTGGACAGAAAAATGGAAAGACAAGACAAGCAACAGAGTGGAGCCTGGCAGGGAGGCCAATTCCTATAGTCCTGGTTACAAGGAAGATGGCTGAGTCTAGGGCTTCAAGGTCACAAACAACACATAAACTATAAATAAGTCCTATGACTTTTTAATTTGAAAAAAAGAAAAAAACTCAAAACCCTCAGCAACTAAGTAGTATATGCATAGACATGTGGCATATGTTTTCCTCTGAAATCATTGAAAATGAGCTTTCTTCTTTGAAATTCAGCTTTCATTCCTTTCTATTTTTATGTTTTCACACACAGCCCATTTCTCTGGTCAGTAAGAAAAGGCTGTGCCTTCAGTGAGTGGTATATTCCTTGATGGATATGACTTATAGAAAAATTAAATGCAATAACGTAGCAAATTATCATGAAATACATTTGAATCCCCAGGAAGGGCATTTGAAATTCTCTGTGCTCATTTCCATGGGTCTTAGATGAGGTCAGAGCTCAAAGCTTAGCTGTCCTTAGCTCCTGTGCTGAGAACTTCAGTCACCTAGGGATGCATTCCGGGAAGTCTTAGGGAAAGACTTCAGGCTGAGCTACTCTGGGCGACCAGGGTCTCAGAGCCCCTTTAAGTGTCAATAATAGAGGATTTTTTTGTTTGTTTGTTTTTTTTCCAGTTTGGTGCCTCCAACCTCCTGGTCATCTTCCAGCCCTCTCATTTCCTAGTAATGGGAGAAGATATGTTAACAAAAGAACTGAAAACTAATGGGGAAAAACTGAAGAGGATTGGTAGAAGACAGACAAAGAAAAGAAAAAATGGTCAGTAAACACCAGCCAAAGGTAAGCAGCTACCAGACAGATTGCTCGTTTTGTTTTCTTCCCTCTTTACACCCCAGTCTCTTCATACCCTCAACAGATTTAACAAAGCTTAACATGTTTAAGAAGAGCTTTCAAACAGAATGTGATTATTTTTAAAAAGATGCTAAAATCAAAGCATATGAGGGAAATATTTGATAAAACTGAAAAAAAAATACTGACAAAGACTAGATTAGCATCTGCAGGGCTTGGGAATGTAGCTTAGTGATACTGTTCCCGCCTAGCACACACAAGGCCCTAGGTTCTGTTCCTAGCACACATAAGGCCCCGGGTTCCGTTCCGTTCCATTCCTAGCACCAGAACTTGATGTAAAGTCTTAGAAGCTGCACTGTGTTAGGCCGTGATTTTGTAGAACTGAAATGTTGAAGAGCTTGCCCCAAATGCTCTTGGGTTACTTTTCAGCCCTTTAGTATCATTTACTGATCACCTCTGTCCCACATCTCTGCTCTGATTACCAGATAGGACCTTTGGAAACATATTAACAGACATTGGCTTCTACCAAATGAAAGCTAAGAATATCATCACATAGCACCCGAAGCCCAAAGCCCAGCACTCTGCTGATTACTACTGATAACAGTAACCACTAAAAGGGCACACAAAACCAAACCAAACCCGAGTTACACAAAATCATGAATTAGTAATTCAATCCACCACATCTAATCTACTCAAAGACCATATAAACGCCCATAGTGGTGGTCAAAGAATGTTTTGGAACAGAAAGGCCTCTTGCTTTGAGCCTCACCATCAGCTCTCACTCATGCTACAGTTCTCAATGGTGGTTGACAATCAGATTTAAAAAGCTCTGTCCCCACTCATCCAGGGCAAGCAATGGGATTAAAGAGCTGTCTCTCAGAAGAG